AAACCTCTGAAATTTGTCCACTAAGCTCTTTTCATGACTTGTGGAGAACCCAAATGTCTTTGGCACTTGGGGTAGAATAGCTCCTGATGGGGTGTATAATTCATACAAATTATTTATTGTATTTAATTATCATAATTTGTGATTCTTCTGAGCATTCACAAAAGTTGCTGTGCAACAAAGGTAGTGCCCAGAAAACATGTGGTTCTGAGATTGTGTCAGAAGGTAGCTGGAGTGGTTTCCTTTTCCATCCCCATGCAGTCATCATTTTCAATTAAATATATGTGTGCACCCCCCAGACCATAGGTGCCAAGTCACTCCCCCTTCCCCAGCACTCTTTGAGAACAGAGCTGCTGATGGGATCCAAAATCATATATGTAAAATGTAAAAAGCAAAGTATAAAACATAAACCACAGGAGAGCTCAGACTGATTGCCCAGAGTTGAGAAGTCTTTGCTTAGATTGGGTGTAATAACATGTACCTACCTTGTTATTACTTGTGTGCCCTGGTAAAAGCCTCTCATTGTGAGAAAAAACACTTGCATAATTTTTCCAGGCCTCATATTTTTCTTTAAATCATGTGGTTCTGTTTCAGTCTGAAAGGTTTCTGAGGGAATAGGGAGGAGAAAGGAGAGGAGGAGAATGTCCCCTATCCTCTCTGCCTGCAGAAAAAAGTACCTTGTCCAGTACAGGAGTGTTAAACTTGCTGTTTAAGTCACAGGGATATTTGAGAAACATCACTGTTCATTCTAAACAAGAAAACAGACCTAATATATGAAATTCTGTAGCTACAAGAGGTGGATTATTGTTGGAAAGGAATACTGAGGATTCATACAGATTTTAAGTAGGGAACTACTAGTGGGGGTTTTTAAAGACAAAAAAAAAAAACAACAAACAAGCTGACAAAACAAAAGCCCTAAATGCCATCACAAACAAAAACTTCTCAGTGGGTTGCAGTGGAAGTAATGAACCTTTGGTAGAATCACTAGAGTGTTAAAGGCACGTTTGCGGTCTGTGGAAAGACATAAGTGGGCAATAAAAGCTGTCCTCCAGCTGGTATTCATATGGGAATAAGGAAGATAAAAGATGGAGGCAAGTCAGCCAGGGAGAAAGGGAGAATGATCTATGGTGAAAAGAAGTTTAGCAGAACAACTGCTGAAGGTTTACAAAGAAAGACATATAATAAATGTGGTGGAATAGCTGTTAGTGTACTTCACTGGTGTATTTTCTTTAATAAGAATATGGATCTAAAGGCAGGAGAACCAAGCTGACTCCTCTGCTTTAAAATGAAAAATCTGAACTGAAAAGAAAGTTGAGTCCACTTCAGAACAAGAACAGGGGGGAATAATACTGTGCAAGACCAGTGAGGTCTTCATGTGAACGCTAACAAAGACAAAAATACCCCTTGAGAGAAAAGGGTATATTTTGCTGTGGGGACAAATTGTGAGTGTGGGCAGGGAGCTTCCTGGTTTGACACTTGCCTTGGGAGATGGAAAAAGAAGAAACTGTTTAATCAAATTCTTTAAAATCTTACTTTCCAAGGATTTTTGAGCAGAAAGCAACCTTTCTGTCTCAGATCCCAGATAGACTCGCTACTGTTCCTATTTATAGAATGATAGGGTCTCCTCTAATGATCTGTGACTGGTTTCTTCTTCCAAATAACAAGTGATAGGACAAAAGGTAACAGCCTCAAGCTGCACCAGGGGAAGTTTAGATTGGATATTAGGAAAAATTTCTTCGCTGAAAGAGTGATCAGGCATTGGAACAGGCTGCCCAGGGAAGTGGTGGAATAACTGTCTCTGGAATTGTTCAAAAACCATGTAGTTGAGGCCCTTAGTGACATGATTTAGTGGTGGACCTGGCAGTCCTGGTGTAACATTTGGATTTGATGATCTTAAAGGTCTTTTCCAATCTAGTTGATTCTCTGTTTCTATTACTGTATGATAGTAGACCAAATGGTGAAATAAATCTGCAAATGATAGTCAAAAAGCCCTTTACAATTTAGCCTTTGTCTGCGATCCAAAAATATTCTGACAAATATAGAACTATCTGAAAGCTTAGGGTTTATTTGTTATTCCCCTTATTCTGTTTGCATTGTGCCTGTGATCCCATGGGAGTCGTGCCTCTGCTGAAGCAGATGAACTTCATGGGCATTGAGTTTAAGTTCGCCAGTTCCACTGGAAGTAGAGTGGGTCTTTTTGCCTTCACTGCTTCTCAGTGCTAAAAGCCCAGCTTGTTCTTGCTTGGGCCACAACTCTTGCTTAACACAGTACTAATTTGTGTGGTTTACATTATGGTTCGCTTAAAAGAGTAGATTTGTTTTAACATAGGATCATTAGTAGACCAGAATTATTCCCCATACAGATGGACCAACTCCTTCTCTCCTTTTTAGTGCTTTGAATAACTCAGGAATATCTGATCTGTCTAAGAACTCTGTAGAGAAAGTTTATGTAGAAAATTCTGCTCCTGGACAGTTGTAACTTTAAAGTTAGGTAGTGCTGAGAAAAGCATCATTCATAAAATCAGCATTACTGAAAGCTGTAATGAGACCAAAGAAAAGGGAACAATTGTGGTGTTTGTACTTCTTTTGTGTGTGTGTGTGCTTACTTTAAGCAAGCAGAAGGTTGGGGTTTTTTTAACTTCACAGTGCAAACGACCTTACTGATGTGTCTGAATGGGCTTTGGGATTCAGCAGATAAACAGAAATTAGCCATATAGTAGAAGCTGGACTGCAGTTTGATTTATGGCAAAAGCAGCCTTCAAACAGATTTGGTTTTAGTGTGGATTTTTGTCTTCTCATGAAATGGGACCTGAAAATTAGAAAGCCATATGTGATCACAGAAGAGGAAAGTGCAATTATTCAAAACCACTTTTGTTCAGATCTTCAAAGCCTTTCAGCCACCTTTTCCATTTTTATGTGTTCTTGTGTTTTCAGTTTATCAGGAATTTATAATCTAAAATGAACTACAGTAGCAGAGTGACTTGTTCTAGATCAAATGCTAACACATTCCTAAGTACTTTATCCTCAGGAATGCTGAATGTTTCTAGAACTGAGATGTTTTTTTAAAGTTATTGCATATTAATTAATTATACTTTAAATATAATAAATAACCTTGTATTTAAAAAAACAACACGCACAATAAAACAAAATAAAAACAAAAACAAAAACAAAAAAACCAACACAAACAAAACAACACCTCCCCACAAAAAAAGCCCAAAACAACACTAAACCTCAACAGCCACACTGCTGATGAACTGGTATACTTTTTGCTACTTCAAATACTGAAAAGGATCCAGAAATGTTGCTCTTGAAATGACCCGATTTGAGAAAATTTGATGAACCAACCAGTTAGACAAAAAAGGTATCTGACTATATTGCTGCTTCATACAGAGAAAGAGTAAGCAAAAGTAGTATATTGAGCCCATATCAGTGGATTAATACCAAGCGTAATTATAGAACAAAAGCATTGGTGTTAAAAAAAGATTTCTCTTCCAGCTGTGTTGTCTTAGCCTACAAATGTGCATAAGTAAAGGGGTGTTTTGTTAACTAAAGTTCATTGTATTGTTTTGATTAAATTGTGTAGTGTGCAGCTATCTTACTTGTGTAAATAGCAAAGGATTGGCATTTCTATAGAATTTTCTGTGTATTTACTGTCACTTAAATTTATCTTCTTTGTGAATTAGTGTGCCACTTCCGTTTGAGCAGGGAAGGCAGTGTTTCACCTCAAAGGTATTTGTGACTTTTCTGTGGGGTGGAGGTTTGTCAGCATTACATTAAGGGAGATAATGACAAACAGTTTTTCATGTTTTCCCTGACAGATGATATGAAAGGTGAAAGAGGAGGACTACCAAAAAGGTTAACAGCCTCACACAAACTATTTTCTTTTTTTTTCGCAAAGCTACTGAATGCTCAATACATCCTGAATGTTCTTGTTTTGAAGAGCTGTATCATTGCAACAGAAGCATCATCCTGTGCTGTCCAATATCTCTGTCATTGCTTGAATTTCCACTCGGATCTTAATTTTGCTTTTTGCTTTACAATGTTTAGTATTGCTGCACTAATGTCAGGACACAGAGTAAATAGGGTTTCTCTTGCCTGTGGTTACAAACAAAAGGTTATGGAAATGTGAGGGGATTTTAGCATACCTGAAAAAGAGAAAGTTACTCCGCAGGAATAACTGCTCCCATAAAACTGTGTTGCTGTAGTTTTTCTGTTACCAAGGTGCATTTATCAATAGAGGAGAAAGAAAAGCAGAGGACTGTTTCTTCATTACCCATGGCAACAGTATCATCTGTGCCTTTCATTTTTTGTAAATGCATTTTTCATACTCCATAAAAGCTTGTGACTATTCTACACCTCTAAAAACCTGAGCACAAATGGAAGTCTGTCGATGTATACGTTTCTGAAAAGTCAGGTTTTTATTTGAGTCATAACTTTTATAAGAGGATGTGAACATGGCCTTTGGCGTGCTTCAGAATGGCAGTATCTAGTGATCTCGACTGGTGTTTAGATTCACTTTAGAAATATGTTGTCATTATACAGTATTGCATTTGAAGTTCCTGTACATGTTGTATTGAATGTGTACTTTTGTTTAATCTGTTAGTAATGACGTATGATCTATTGCACTTACAGTAAAATGTTTTGAGTAGGTATGTCATGTTCTCCTGTCTCTGTTCAAACACTGATATTCTTGGCGTCAGCTTTTGTATCTAAAGCAAAATAATACCTTCATGGGTTCTGTATTCTTTTGCCTAACTTCTTCAGTATGTTGAAATTTGTCCACTCCTTCTATAAGTTAGCCAAATCACGCTGTGTTATTTCACAGACATTTTATAAAGTAGGTTAGGACTTACTTGGTGAGGGAGGGGGGGAAATAAGTGCTTTTTAATTTGTTCCTTTAAGTAGGCAGGTATACAGTGGACAAAGATGTTAGGCAAATGTTGATGGTTGCTTGTATTTCAAGGTAGTTTACTTGGTACTGAAAGATGGTCTTCTTTCCCCAGCTCCTGTCAGTGGATGGACATCAAATAGTGTTAAACCACCTGGAACGGCTGCCCCTAGTGAAAAACCTGCACCAGCACCTCAGCTGAATGAGCAAGACACGTTGGTTCAGAGGGCAGAGCATATTCCAGCAGGAAAGCGTACTCCTATGTGTGCGCACTGTAATCAAGTCATTAGGTTTGTATCTGTGTGCTGGGTATACTCTTTGCTGGGTAAAAAACTGTCTGGGTGGCCAGGCCCAAAGAGTGGTGGTGAATGGAGTTAAATCCTGTTGATGGCGGTCACAAGTGGTGTCCCCTAGGGCTCAGTAGTAGGGACAGTTCTGTTCAATATCTTCATCAATGATCTGGATGAGGGGATTGAGGGCACCGTCACCAAGTTTGCAGACTGCACCAAATTGAGTGGGAATGCTGATCAACCTGAACATAGAAAGGCTCTGCAGAGGGGTCTGGACAGGCTGGATTGATGAGCTGAAAGCAACTGTATGAGGCTCAACAATGCTGAGTTCCGAGTCCTGCACCTGGTCACAACAACTCCATGTGACACTACAGGCTATGTCCCATGTTTGCAATGCACAGAACAGGAGAGCCTGCACTGTGTTTCACCATGGTTAAAGAAACTTGTTTGATTAGAAAACGTGAGTGTGAAAAAATGAGTAGCTGTATAAATTTCATCAGTATTATAGAAAATAAGCCTTTCCATCACGGGTTTTTGTAGCCTTTTGAGCTCTTGCCTGATTCTGCATCAGAAGATGCAGCTAACTCAAATTTCTTGATCTCTAGGGGTCAGCTGAGTCCAGCTTATTTCCATTAGATTTCTGTTCTGATAGTTCACTACCAGTTCAGCTAAAATTGGGTTAATGTTAGAGGATGCTTTACTAACCGATCTGTGATCTTTTGGAGGATTTTTTCCTACTTCCATTGTATATGTCAAGGAAATAAAAATACGTGACCTGAATCCCCTTGAAGCAATAGAAGAAACTATTCAAATTCCTAACATAGGTGCAAATGTTTTACTTCACTGCAAAATGGAAGATTAGTATCAAAGAGGTCCACACTTTTGGGATGAGAGTGATTTGGTTCATTGAACAGCTTGGCCTCTATAACCATTCTGTCTGTCTGCTATTCTGACCTTTTTGTTCCCTGGGCTTTGGATTTGTGTCTAGTAAATAATAAGCAAGCAACCATGCACTGTCCTTTTTGTTACCATCACTTCAGTTTAAAATTAAGACTGAACAGAGTAAACACATTACATGCTGAATCTTTCATGCAGGAAGCTTCACTGCCTTTTGTAGTGCGTTTGTGGTTTAGCAAGGTTTGCCGAAGCTCTGTGCTGCAGGGTCTCACAGTCAGCAGATTGTTCTTGAGCAGCCAGCATTTCCTCTCAGCCCTTAAATCACTTGCTGCTACTCTCTGCCTTTCCACCTTGATCACCATTAAAAATGAGATTAGCTGCCAGTAGGGTAGTATACTGCTCCGCGGAGCAGGTTTTCCTCCTTTGTGTATGCTTGAGAACTACTTCATAGAATCATAGAATACCAGACTGGAAGGGACGTTAAGGATTATCCAGTCCAACCTTTCTTGACAAAGCCTGGCCCAGACTAGATGTCCCAGCACCCTGTCCAGCTAAGTCTTAAACTTGTCCAATGTCAGGGAGTCCACCACTTCCGTGGGGAGATTATTTCAGTGGCTGATTGTTCTCATTTTGAAAAATTTTCCCATAGTGTCCAACAAGAATCTCCCTGGGAGTAAGTTGTACCCATTGCCCCTCATTGTTTCCATGTCACTATTTGTAAAAATGGACTCTCCATCTTCTTTTAGCCACCCTTTAAATATTGGAAGTATTAAGTACTTGACAGTACTTAAGCCATTGTCACCTATTGTAAGTGATACCTCTTCATGAATAGTAACTGATACTCATGTTATTTGTAACCTGCTGGTGGTGTTTAGATCCTTATATTTTTTCATATGTTAAATGCCACTTCAATTATTAAAAGCAAGCATTATTGCATTTGAGGATGAGTTGATGTGCATTAATGTTAAACATGCCTTGTGTTCACAGTGTACAGTGGATTTAGATTATTGCAATGGCATTTTGAATTCAAGTTTTAGCATAATTACAGTTCATGCCCTCAGGTAATGCTACCACTATGAAAAGGTAGGAGGAGGATCAAGCAACATTGCATTGTTCATCTGTTTTAAAGCCAAAATGCGTTGTGGAGTTGGTTACTTTACACTCAGGCATAGAATGACCATGGTTGCTCAAGCCAAACCCATCTATTAGAGACATCTTATAACTTTTTAATATATCTTTAATTATTCATGCAGCGATTTTCTGAATATTCCATTTTTTCCCAAAGCTTCAGTAAGTAAGCTTTTCTTGCCGTGTCTAAACGAATCAAAGCTAGAGGCAAACTAAATTACCCATGATCTACTTGCTGTGATGGTCTGATAAACTTCTGACATTTCCTGGTGAAGACTTCTGGTTCCCAGGCAGTCTTACCAAGTGCTGCAGTGCAGAGTTGGCTCTTCCTTTGAAGTCCAAATAGGTTTTCCCTGATTCTCCACTGAGAATGTCTTTGTTGGCATGTCTGCTTTTGAATGATGAGTTGGTCATGTCATCTTTTCATACAGCTTAATTGTTTTTAAAGGGAAAAGGGAAAAAGTATGAATGGTGCTTCCCTTCAGCATCTCCTATACAAAAATTATTATTCTGGCATTTTCAAGTGAGAAGAAAAAGAAACTTCCCAGAATGTAGACTGCTGTATGGTTAACTGTGAAGTGATTGGTCTACGTAGCAGATGTGAGGATCCTTTTGATCTCTCTACCACTAAATTTCAGTTCTGGCTTGCTATCATAATAAAAACCACATGGGAAGTTAGATTATTGACCTACTAACACATCATGACCATACTGATGAAGTTATATTTAGCTACAAGTGTAAAGATAAATTCTGATTATATTCCCTGTGTGTTACCTACTTTTTCCTGCTGGCCCCTGTATCATTTCTGCATGCAGAGCCCAGATGTTTTAGGTGGCTAATCTCAAAACCAACAAACAAAAAACCTTACTGTTTGCTTCCTTCTGTGAGTTTGGTTCATGTGGTCTAGATGGTAATGCCAGAAATTTGTTCAGAAATGCTTAGCATGTCAAAATAGCCTGGGATAGAAGCGCATTCATAGCGAACTTTTGCTCTTTGATCATCTAGTATCTTTGGATGGAAGCGACATGGGTTTTTAGCAGCACCTTTAAAAAATACGTTCTAGTTGACAGAGGCATGGGGCAATTTTTATTGTTTTGGTTTGGTTTTAAATGGGGACGGAAGGATGTAGCCATCTGCAGCCATCTTCTAACATTTCATGGCCTAGCTACTTGCTGTTAGTTGCGTAAGAGTGGGCATGCATCCCTCTTACTCAAATCGGAGCTTTAAACACCTTTTCAAATGAATACAGCAAATTAATACCTTTCATTACTGGAAGCTGTCGTTTTGATCACAAAAATGTGCAAAGACCAGGAACACCTCCAAGTTCTGAATATCACATTTTTGTGTATTTTATGTGGCAGGTGTTTATTTTTTTCTTTCTTCCATGTGCTTTGGGGCAGCTTTTAAGTCACTGGTGTCATTAAGCTGCAGCGATGGCTTGACATATTTAAAATACTGCCTGATTAAAAGCAAAATTGTGTTTAGAAAGCCTTCTTCTAGACATGTGTGTGCGGGGAGCCAGCCCACTAATGGAACACCTTGGAGACATTATGCAGGGCATGGCCACAGCTGTCTGGGGACTTTGGGAAAGAAACTCTGTGGATGCACTCTCAGGTTGTTCCCCATCCATTTGCGTTCCTGAACGCTGTCCTGAATGGCTAACCTCAACATGTCAGAGCTGTAAACTCTGGAGGGCTAAATGCAGCAGATGTTGTAAAAATTCCTTCCTCTCCTGTTGCTAGTGTGCTTTTTTTCCATTGCAGAGGTAATCGAGCCTATTGTTTCAGTGCAGATGGCCAGAAACTCAATCCTACCTGGAGCCAGGAGAGCCTCTTCGGTGTCAGCCCTGTGTTAATGAATCTGTTAAATTAGCCTGTGCTGACACGGCGCACTGAGAGCACTTTGTTGTACATAAGGGCTTGTATTGTTTGATCAGTACATAACTGAAAGGGCATTGATGTAAAAAGGTGCTTGTAGAGCAGTGAGAGGGTATCGGGTTAGGTCAGTGTTTGCACTCCTCATGCATCCGCTGGGAGTGGGGACCAGAGAGCTGCGCTCGACCCTAGCTCCCTCCTTAAAGGGCTATGAGCTGCTCTCCAGGAGACTTTTTCACTGCTTTCTCTCTCATCTCAGAGGTGAATAGAAGAAACTGTTTCAGATTAAATATGTTAATCATCTCAGATGGTGTGTGAGTTGTCTGAAAACTGTTTGAGTCCCTTATCTTTGACTTCTCATCCTGTTGGGAATCCATAGCAGCTTCAGGGAAAATGTGGAAGAGAAACAAAAATAATTACCCCCTACTCTTGATGGAGTTGCCCTCTGTCCTCTGCCCACTAGCGTCAATATAACCCTAGAAGCAGATTTTGAGGGTGGTTTATTTTCTTCTCTATTATTGTTTTTTTTTTCACATGAAAATCTTACCTTACACAAAAAATGTTCTTGTAGTTTACTCAATTTCCAAAGAAATGCTTAGCAACAGCTTGGTCGTATTAGTACCTTACACTTTTCTTGCAGTGAAGTATTAGATTGAAAAAGAAAAAAAAAGATGTGTTACTGAAAAGATATCATCTTTATTGGTCTTCAAAAATGGGAAATCTGGTGGGTGAGATGAACTTGAATCCCGAAGTTCACCTGAAACCTAAAATTTGAAAGGTTGAGTATTGGTGGGACCTTAGAGGCACCTCATTAAATATGTTCATAAAAGAAATTAGCATGCAAAATATGTTTTCAAACGAACACAGGTAGAGTGATATATGCCTGGGATTTATGAGTTACAAACTGAGAATTTTTTTTTGACTCAGAAAAAGACAGTTTATCTTGTCTGTTAACCTTGTTGCATTAGCCACACAAATGCTATTAAAAGCATCATTATTTTGTGTTTGCAAATAATAGAGGAGGCTCTGTATTTGGAAAATATGGTCCTATTTTAACTATCTTCTGACAGAAAAGAAAAAAAAAATAAACACCAATAACTGGGATGGGTTATCCTGTAACAAATTTGTTGGATAAGGACCGTGATTGAATTTTTGTCTCACGAGAAACTGATGTTATCAGCTCTTAATGGAGGCAAGTCTACATGCATTTGTGTGCTTGATACAAATGCATGCTGAAAGAGAGTGGATCATATCACTGTGTCATATACCTCTTTGCAATAGATTGTAATAATTGGGAACACAAGAAACATCCTTCTTGCTCTCCTTTTCCCTAACTGCCACTTCAGCACTGTATTTAATGTAGTTTTAAAATAAGATTTCTGAAATGCAGTGAAGTGAAGAGAATTCATATTTATTGCAGTCAGGTGTTTCTGGGAGATGGTTCAATGGGAATAAATACAGTCAATACTTGATGCTTACTCAGAGCCTGTAGAGGGAAAGCAGCATGAAGTGGTTTATGTTTGCGAACTGTGTAGTAATGGCACAGAAGTGTCGTAGGTTAAGCCTATTAACAGCTTTTGCAGGAGCCAACCCAGGGGCATTAGCTGACAAAATCTCTTCTTTCTAATCAGAGGACCCTTCTTGGTGGCTTTGGGGAAGTCATGGCATCCGGAAGAGTTTAATTGTGCTCATTGCAAAACATCCATGGCTTACATTGGTTTTGTGGAAGAGAAAGGGATGCTTTATTGTGAGGTCTGCTATGAGAAGTTCTTTGCCCCTGAGTGTTCAAAGTGCCAGAGGAAGATTCTTGGGGTAAGTGACCAGCAAGTGACCCACTTCTCAGGGGAACAATAACCACAATGTTCATTGCTTCTCTGTAGTGAAATTTCCCTTTATCTGACACAGTTTGCATTTTTCCAGACATACTGACATACCTTTTCAGCTCCCATCACACACAGAATGTTTTTCGCTGGTCCAATGTTGTGCCTTTTTGGTCTCTTTGAGAAGCTGCAGTCTTCTTGGCTCTTCAGGTTCAGCTCCTGTTTTCGTGAAGCTGTGCTTCTAGCTTCACTAGATTTTCTTGGGAAAAATTTAATTGGCAGCTCTTTATAGAATTGGAGGAGGCAGGGTGCTTGTGTGATAAATAATGCTCTTTAGCTGAACTGAACACTGCAGAACTTGCTGGTTGGCTAGATGTGAAGTACTGAACTATTCCCAGGGGTAATGTAGATAGAAAGACACATTATCAACACCAATATTGCTAATTTGAGCCCACCAGCTGATAGTTCACTGCTCTACTGCAGGCAGCAATGTCTCTGCACTCTTGTCCAGGGCCCTGCAGGTCTCTGACAGCACACTTCTCAAGTCATATTTGGCGCTATTGCACCTTCCAGTACAACACAGTGTGATCATAATTTTCTACATGATGTTTTCTGTTAACTATTCACAGACTTAAGGAGATGTCAGAGATGCTGCTTTTCTTATTTCAGGGGACTTGTGGGTGAGATCCTAACTAAAATGGAAAGGGTGAACAAATGAGCTGTTAAATCTGTCCAATTCTACATTGAATCTTCCAAAAAATGAAAGGTTGCTTATGACAAACAAGGGGATGTACTGTAAGTAAAGCACTTTGTTAAGTTTAACATCAGCAGAAATTGCATGCACAACCCATTTTCAAAGTAGCAGTAGGAAACAAAATATTCTTGAGACGAATTAAGTGTGGAGGCATGGTCACCACAGTCTAGTCATCACTTCAAAATAATGTGTTAATAACACATTTTCTAATCCCCACAGGAAGTAATAAATGCTTTGAAACAAACTTGGCACGTTTCCTGCTTCGTGTGTGTGGCCTGTCATAACCCCATCCGCAATAATGTCTTCCACTTAGAAGATGGCGATCCCTACTGTGAGACAGGTAAGAAGCAGCACAACCCAAGTTTACTGCATCTGTGTGGGGAAGGAGAGCTCAATAAGGTTGGAAAAGAATAACAATTCCTTTTTGTTAAGCTTCACTTCAGAAGCAGCTCTCCAGAAAATTTGTGTAACTCTGATACATCAATTCAAAGCAGCATCAAACACTGTAGACACTTCCAAGATTGCAGGAGAAGTTGGTGAGAATTTTTTCACCGGCTTCATCAGGAGCTGACTTCTTGTCACTGGTTTTACTGGTTGTTCCTGTTAAGCCCTCAGCTGTCAGTACCAGTGATAAAGCAGTGTTAATTTTGGGTGCCTTTCTGGTTGACTTTAAAATGATCTGGTATTTATGTAAATCTCCTTATTTACTAAACCAGCAAATGCCAGTGGAGTAATGTGTTTTATTCTGAATAACTTTATTCACAGCTGTGAGGGACTTCCAAGAGCAAGCAGTCTGCCCAGGAAGTTTTTTGCAGATCAGGGATAACATCTGTTGAACATAAGCTTGGCATAAAAAAAACAGGCTGTTGGGGGAAAAATACAGTGATATGATTATATCACTTGAAAGACTGATGAGCAATATTACATGAAAGATGTGGCTTAGAAGTTCAGAGGGACTCTGTTTTGGTTTTTAGCACTTCCAGCTAATCATAGCTTTTTATTAGTATGAAGTTTTTATTTTTGTTGGTTTCCTCATTTGCTTAAAACTTTCCATGTATCCTTCTGGGGTTGGAAGGAAAAAGATAGTATTTGTAAAACAATTCCCACAAAATTGAAAAGAAAGAAAATTGTATCAAAATTGTCTATTTTCACACTGCATGATATTTACATCTGTGTTAGAACAATCAGTCAAACCTTTTCTGTTTTTCCTGTAGTTTAACTAGAGGTGGAAGTGGATTGACCAGGAAAAGATTTAGCATAACATCCTGGCAACCTGTTTAGAGCTAAGATTTCCTTCTGGATTGATCCCACAGTTGCTCACAGTGGGTGCCATGGAGAGTTCTAGGTATACAAAGGATGAGGAAAGCAGGCAAAATTTATCTAGAATTTATCTGTCAGAGTGGCTGTAATAGGGTGTTGGCAGATACGGAAGGATGCAGTAGGTTATTGCCAATTCAGTGACATGAGTAGGGTAATGTATTGCTCCTACTGAATTCATGGAGCAGTAGAGGAAACAGATACATGAGCAGCATCCTCCAGTGTGACAGCACGGTGAAATTTCATCCTGGAGGAATCTGAAGCCCTTAATCTTACAACCATTTGATGATTCAAAAATAGCACTGAAGGAATCAATAACTCCCCTTGGGGTGGAAAGCTCGTGACCAAGTTTGTTCTGCTAATATTGAATTCTTGTTCCTGCCACCAAATGACCCGTATGTTGTGTGGTGCATTGATTTGTGCTACTGTTACCACTTCCTTGCTCAAATGCACACTTTTCTATAGTGTGAGCACTTTTCTATACTGTGAGGAAACCGGGATAAAAATATCAAGAATACTATGCTTCTCACAAACTTTATTTCTGAGATAGAAAGTTTCTATCACAACTTAATGTAGATACATTCTGTGAGGTGTTATTGGCAGTGACACATTGTAATGGCCATTGCTTTCTAACTAGATGTTTATTTGAGATAGATTTGTTCTTCAAAGACTTCCAGTCTAGCTGGAGCAAAGGGTCTATGACTAATTTTAAAGGAATAAGGAGTAAATGTCATTGCCAACTTTCCCTCCTAGTCAAAGGAACACTCTAATTTTAAATCTATGTTTGAAATTGTAACAGCACTAGCTATTAGTATTAAGGGGGGTTTAATCTGCAAAATGTTCTGGGTTTGGATGTCAATGCTAAATTAAATTAAAAGTGCAGATACCTACAACTTTGAACTTTAAGTGCAGAGTTAGTTATCTAGTTTTGAAAATGCCGTGTGCGGGAAGCATTGATATGTGACTGTATGAGAAGTCTGCTTTGGAAGGCTTCTATGGTATCACAATTCAAGCATGCAAAGGAAAGCTGATGCCCTTCAGTCTGCCTTATCTATTGCCCTTTCTTCAGAAGAAAAGCCAATAAACTTATCAACACAAGCCACAGCCAACTTACAAAGGGCTTTAACTACTGGCACCAGGAAAATATCACTGAAAGATTCTGTATGAACACAGATGCAAAGAGCTGAAACAGTATGGTCATGAAACTGTGTCCTTCAGGGGGTTTGCACAGATGCGTCCTACCATTTCACATTTGTATTGTCTGACTTCTGCTTAAACACTTGCAAATTCGTCCCAGTAGCACAAATTAAGGAAGGCAATCAAGGAAGCTGTTTCTTGCCACTGGCAGCCACCAAGGGCTTTGCTTTTCCAGAACACTTGTGTTCCCCATTCTTCTGAGATGCCTCCTATGGTTATGCTTTTTGAGGTCATCATACAAAACACTGTCTTACTGAACAAAAAGAGGACTTTTTTCTTGGGCTTGACACATTATAAAGCCTCTGTTGGCTCTGCTGCAGTAGGCACTAGAGCTTCAGCACATCTGTATAATCTGGTAGAGAAACAAAATCTCCTTGTACCCTGTGTGCCACTCCTTATAAGTCTCCTTGAAAACAATCCCTGGTATCTAATTTCCCTGTCAAAAGCAGATTGTTACTATTAAGGATGGAGTCCAAAGCTTCATTATGGTTGCCACTCTGTTCTTAAGTTCATCTTACGAAGATGTAGTGTTGCATGACATTATGTATTTGCCATGGTAGCATGCCAGTTCCAAATTCTTTTCATTTTATAGCACTCATGCTGTTGTCTTCTGTGCAGGAAAATAGCATTTCCTTCTTAGAATGGGGTGCTTGAGAGTCAAAATAAATAGAAAAGACCAGAAAACCTGGGGTAAAATTTAGGCTTGCACTGGCAGACAGCGAAGGACTGTGGTGACTTGCAGCCCCTGAGATGGCTCTATGCACAGAAAAGTGAGTGCCACACACTGAGGCCATGGGGATGGGCGTGGATGTCAGTGCCTCCTACCCAAATTCATACATGCATTTTATCTTGCTAGTCTGCCCTGCTCTCTCTTTTTCAAGCTCTGCAGTCAGTGAGGAATATGAACAATTCGATGCCCTTTGTTTTGGTCCCTGTTCCTTCCCTGAGACTGCTGGAGGACTTTTTCTCTTCTGGCTCCAGGGTAGCCTCCAGCACCACCAAGTCAATCTTGTGACTAAAAATGCGTGGTGCAAATACACTTCAGTGATGGTAGTCACTAGGAACCACCCTAAAACCTTACTGATACTTTTTGTTAGAGGCCTCTGGTTTGGTTTTGGTTTGGGTTTTTTGTGGCGGGTTTTTGTTTGTTTGTTTGGTTGGTTGGTGTTTTTCAAAGCAGTAATAAACTCCATTGACTAGAAAGCTGTTCTGACTTGATCTGCATTGCTTGACTGTTTAGGACAGAAGCCTAATGATTACATGATTGTGTGTGGTGCATTCTGGGGCAAATATTGTGCCAGAATGTAGGCAAGCTCTCATTACTTGCTGAGGTCTGTCCTGTGAAAAGCCAGGGTGTGCTTTCAAGACAGAGCTGGAGAGAACGTAAGGAGCACACAGAGCCCACACAAGTGCTCTTGCATTTGTGTGGCACACAAATTTCCCTACCTTGAGTATGCTATTGATCTCAACGAAATGAAACACCAGGAAGATGGAAGTATTGCTCACTTGAAAGGGTAAGGAGGGGGCTGAGAACTGAATTAGCAAGGAAAGGATGGCATCCTGGTATCTCAATCTAGGAACTCTTTACTCAGGGTACCCAGAATTACAAAACTCAACTAGTGTAAACCCACTGCCGTTGAAAGAAAAGCACAGTGGTTTCAAAGGGTCAGTCTTGTTTTTCTGCAGATGCTTCAGCTTTAAAATCTGATTGTATTTGTTTGCAGATTACTATGCCCTCTTCGGTACTATGTGCCATGGCTGTGAATTCCCCATTGAAGCCGGAGACAGGTTTCTTGAGGCTCTGGGCCACACTTGGCATGACACTTGCTTTGTATGCTCAGTAAGTAATGCTAATGTACATTTCAAACAAACCCCTGGCAACAGTGCTTGTGCTAACCTGACCTATGTGGGAGTTAACAGCTATAGCCTCTTTCAGTCCTCTGAGTCCAAACAAAAAGCACTTTCCCAGTTATTTGGAAGGTGTGTTGCTATTGTGAGCCTTTGGCACCAGTCCAAAGGAGTTGGCCTGTGTTGCAGGCATGTGTCCTGGCATTTAACCCTTGATTTAACCCTTGCTCATGGCAAGCTTTGAAGGCCATACAGGAACAGGCTGTGTTTTGATATAAAGACACTGTAGCCAAAGTATCACCTGCTAATATTGTATGACCAAAAAAAAAAACACCCAAAAACCCCAGTCCTAATGATTGGGTTTCTTTTTAAATGCTGAACCTAACACTGCTCCCAGTTAAGAGCTTGCTGACTTAAAGAAAGAAGGGTTATGCTTACATCAACCATTAGTATTTTGTCAAAAAGAGTGTCCCTAAGAAAAATTTAATAGCTCTTATTTTTTGAATGTATTTGTACACAGATGCCATGGTTTAGCATTCTGAATAATGTATGGTGTAATTCCTTCCTCTGACTTGGGTGATCTTTTCTCTTTTTTTATCCCATTTCAGGTATGTAATGACAGTTTGGAGGGTCAGACTTTCTTCTCCAAGAAGGATAAGCCACTGTGCAAGAAACACGCTCACTCTATCAACATCTGATGCATGTAGCTCATCTTGTGTAACAAATGTACTAAGCAGAAAGAAAGGTTAAAATGTCCATGTTCAGTAATTAGTTAAAATTATTTATATACAATTTTCTAGAATGGAAAAAAATGTAGAAACTTGTGGAGGGTGTTGTACACAAATTTAAAATTGTTATCAATTATATGGTATATCAATTATATTTCCTTCATAAAAAGATAGGAATCGGGGAATTGCATCCAAGCCAAACGATTGGAGTGCCTTTACCTCTACATTTGGCACGTTAGTGTATTTGTTTCATGATGTTATGACCAGATTTATATCTGCTTTGGTATGAGAAGTGAAGCATCTGTAAAAATAAATACTGGTATTAGAAGTCTTGGGTTTGCTGCTATTCAACAAATAAAAGGAGATTGGCTTCAGCAATTCAGATCACTTTACTGCAATGTTATTTACAGTGTGTCTAGAAGTGTTGCAGCTAAACTCCATTAAAAGGAATTCAAAGCAATGTTAATATTACACAGAATATATAGTTCAACTGATATTTTTATCTGATACTCATATACATGATGAAGTTTCCTGCACAATTACATGTACCTGTGCCTTTGCAGTGCCTGCAAATTGTGCAGTCTCCTGCACAATTACATGTGCCTGTGCCTTTCATCTCTGATGAATCTGCAAAGGACAGAGATTTTTACAAAGCAGTTACATGGGGTGGTGTCCATGATGGTGAACAAGAATAGTTTAGAAGATGCTACTTAGAATAAATCATAAATGGGATACTCTTGCTTCTTCCTTAACTACCAGAACACTAGCCAAAATCCTGGTATTCTGGTGTACTACCAGAATACTAGACAAAAAAACCCTGCTAGTGAAGGTATGTTTGACAGGATGCAAATGTCAGAGCAGATCTTAAAAATAAGGAAGCAGGGAGTTACACTCTCATGTTCGCAGTTCAGATTTTAGATAGTTTTAAATGCCTTGGAAGGGGGAAATTGCACTGAATCTGCAGGCAACAGGTTTATATCCAGAATGTGAGACTCTGGTGTTGTATGAGGGAAACTGCTGAAGTGCAACTGAGGACATTGTTTTTCTCTCAGTACATTCTTTACCATGTAGCTCATGAATATGTGTATTGGTGGTGTGCCAGGTAGTATACCGAAAACCTGCTTTCTTGCTCAGCTGTTACGATTTTTTTTTATTAGCTTAAGTTCTATTTGTCTCTCTTCCTTCATGTGTAGGGAATATATTGTTGACTAATATAATATTCAGTTAGGCAGCTCAGTCTCTCAGTTCTTGCAAGGCAGCAGAGAGACAATGCTGTCATCATGCATTTACTGCAAGCCAGGAGATGTAGCCATTTCTGTGGCTTGATACAGATTTTGCCTCCATACACGGAGTCAGTGCGAGACCTGTGCACCAGCTAAGTCCCTCTTAGGGATAGGGATGGTGTTGGTAGGGAATAGATAGGGAAGAGGTGGTGACCCTTGGCGTGGGGTGAATGTCACACCGGCAAAGTTGCACAACAGGGAAGGGGGCCCTCTCGGGGCCAGATCTGATTCCTGAAGGAAACTGAATTTACTTGCTATTTAATTCATCTGGGATATCACAGCTGAATCATGTCTTTAGTGTTCTTTCCAGTAGACATTAAAAGTAATCATTTGCTGATTTTGTTGGTTTGGGGTTGGGTTTTTTCTTTTTCTTTTTTTTTTTTTTTTACGAATACAGAAGACAGGTTTATGCATAAAACCATGCCGAGAACGACAAGAAATTGCCATGGTTGAGTAAAGCAATTGTAACAAGGAACATTAACAAAGGGGGGGAGAGGAACTAAAATTCCTGTACTAAAATATGAAAAGGTATTTTGCTTTCTTATTAATTCAGTGAGACAGGTTCGTATTGTGGGGCTGTTTCAGTTTATTTTCTGAAGTTGTTTTTTCTTCAATACTACCACATGTCTCTAACTTCTCGTGGTATGGAAGAAATGGCATAAAGCTGTTTAAAATGTTTACACTCTTGCAGGTGTATTCTTTCGTGAGTTTGGCTGAAAATCAGAGGGGTAGAAGCAGACTGGACAAGATACGGTAATATATCAGCCAGGTTGCTTTTGAAATTAGGTGAAATGGGAAGAAATGAGACTTAGAGGGTAGGTTTCAGTGGAACTATATTGCACATGCATGAGGAAAGAGAATGGGAACGCCCAGGATAAGGCGTGCAATTATTTCTTCAATAAAAACCTTTCTATTTTGAAGTAGGGTAGAAACTTCTCATTTTATCAGTGTCCTTAAGATCAAATTGAATTTTGTTTAGTTTCATAATTTTAATTGGAATTATACTTCTTAATCTATAAATTCCAGGGACTGAAATTTTGCAGTCATGAATGAATTTGAGGATAGAAGCCTGGAAGGCTCCAATAGTACTGCTTCGTTTAGCTGCTTTGCCTTTTAATTTCTGCTTTTATCTATTTGTTTAAAATTTAAAAGGAAGCATAGAGTTGCTAATACATAATAATATTTAATGGCTCTACCAAATTATATAAATCAACTAAAAGGAACATAATTTTTACTGTTATTTTAATAAGTGAGATTTTAGTAGAGCACTTTATAATAATGCCATATATCTCACTGAATATTTATTGTTTTTTGTTTAGGACTATTTCATACTAGTATCTTTGGGTTTTGTTTTATTTGTAAGCCTGCATACTTACCTCTAGAATTTGCTGGTGTGTGTGTATGTGTTCATATATACCTCTTTATACATGCACGCATATGCATATACATTGGGAGATATCATATATATGCACATACACATGTGTATTTAACTGCAGAATTAATATAGTAAAAAATCAGCACCCTTCTATCACCATTTGAGGATTTAGTGAGATTCCCAACTACTTCTCATACAACACATATATAGCATTCATGTTTTGAGGGAATGTTCGAAAGTCACAAGAAATAACTACTGTAGGTTTCTTCATGCATTTTCAGTCAGTAATTATTTTTCTTCCAAAAAATTATTTCTTTTTCTGCCTGTAAGAATACTGGGTTTAACTCTCTTTGAAGGTAGAAAGTCTGTATAAATTAATAATTGAATCATCACAACAGTTTCAGTATATTGTAGCTAAATAATTCAGAATTATATGTAAATATAAATGCTTAATATAACAATGCAATAAACTTGAAAGCAACAGTGGGTTGAAATGTGGTTCAATGTGTGTTGATCTCTTCAGCTGAATACCTGTTTTTTCATGGAGCGACTTGCATCATCTAGCCATACAAGTGGCTTCACAAACAAAGAGCAAGAAGGGGAGCTATGTGAATTCACAGATTACTTGTTTGAAATTATTTTTCTCATTATTTTATGCTAAACCACCAGCTGTAAAGTCCTGGTGATTTCCTTGCTTGTGTTTAATAGTCTTGAGCATCAATTTTGGCTGTTCACATCTGCAAATTTAATTATAATTAAAAACCAAACAAACCCAACACAAACCTCCAAACTCTCTGTTCTCAGTTGTTTGTGGTTGCTGGATGTTTTCTTTTCCTGAATGATAGGTAGTAAAGGAAAGTTATGATTGTACACATGAATAGGTATTATGTATGTTGCTTGTTCTTCAGATTTTTGGGGTATAATGGAGGTTTGCTTTACAGTAAAGGACCTGGAGGTCCTGGTGGACACCAAGTTGACCATGGGCTAGTGATGTCCTCTTTGTCACAAGAAAGACCACCAGCCTCGTGGTGTCCATTAGGTGGAGCGTTATCAACAGTGTGAGGGAGGTGATCATCCTTCTTTGCTCATCCTTGGTGAGACACATTTGGATTGCTGCGTCCAGTGCTGGTCTCACCAGTACAAGAGAGACGGACATATGGGAGTAGTGACGAGCTAGGGCTTGGAGCATTTTTCACACATGGAGGAGCTGAGAGCTGGTACTGTTTAGGTTGGAGAAGAGAAGGCTCAGGGGACATCTCATACATGTGCACAAATACTTGGAGGGAGAGTAAAGAAGATGGAGCCAGACCTGGCAAAGTGGTTCTTAGTGACAGGACGACTGTGAGGATGGTCAAACATTGGCACAGGTTACTCAGAGTTTCTGTACTGGGAGATACTTGGAATCCCACTGGACATGGCTTTTGGACTAGTCAAGGTCCCTTTATCTCTGAACACCCATTCCAACCTCAGTGAGTCTCTGATTCTCTTCCATTCCATCTTCCATTCTTAAGATAGAGCGGAAGATGGAAATATGATAGCACTGTAGAATATGGAACAATGTAAAACTCAATATTAGCCAATTACTATTTATTTACTGTTGTTGCTTCATTCTACTGACCATCTTGGAATACTTTGCAATGCTTGTTCGGAAGTGGTTAATATTTTCTAAGTTGAGACTGTTCAAGGAAATACTGCCTACTCTGGCAAGCAATATCCAATACTGTAGCTAGCCTTGGCAACAGCAGTCTCTGCTTTCACCACAGGATACTTAACTCTCTACTATAACATGGCCAATTACTTCATGATAATACCAGCCTCGTAAGACTCTCCTTAGCTGAGTATCTCTTAACTAGGCAAATGCACCGTTGTTTTCTACCTTAATTTACACAAGCAAAGGAAAACACTGCACACAGCTCTATAAAATTTAAAGGCAACTTTACAGAAAGCTTGCCTCCCCTTCAGTGTTTAGGCTATGAACGAGACAAATGCAGGTCTATTGCAAACAGTATATTAAGCTCCAGAAGCCAAACTTTTAAAGGCATCAAGTCTGTATTTGACGTTTTAATGGCAAAGGTTTGGTTTCTATCAATCACAACGTCATGTAACATTAAAATGCTCTGACAAAAAAAAAAAAGAGATCTGTCATTCATTCATTAAGATGCTGTAATCCAGTGTAAGATTTATAGGCTTAAAACTCAAGGGTGTGTTTTCACAATAAATCCACTTTCACTGCTCAGCACAGAACAAATCTCTGTCACTCAAAATGTTTGCTGGTCAAAATGCCCTGTATGAGATCTTCAAAGGGTTTTTCACAAAATTGCATATAAATCCTTTTACCAGTAAAGGCTTAATTTAGGTTCAAGTTTTACTTTCTCGGGACATTGGTTAATATCTTGTGCTCAGACAAGATCTTGGTTATATCAGAAACACATAGGGCCTAATTTATTATTTGCAGGCTGGTGTTAATTAGGGGGAATTACCAGAAATAGTTTGCTTGATGGAAATTTATTACGGGATCACACTTTACTGATGGCAAAATAGGAGTCACTGAAAGAGTGCAGCTCCTTCTCATAACCAAGTAATTAATAAGGTGCCAAAATTCCTCTGAGAAGGGTTTGGTCCTAACTATGGGAACCTCACAGAGAAAGTGGTTCCTATGCAGTATTTAAAATTTAAGAGGGAAAAGAGAGAGGAGGAAAAGCTGCCCAGCAGAAGTCTCAAAAGTGGTGTGGCTTTCTCTTGAATTTATGAAATAAAATATTTAGCTGTGTTTCCAAGCTTATTAAAGAATTGCTTTTCCCAGACAGAAAAACAACAGCTAGTTTATAATCTCATTTGTTGTGCTTGATCTTGGTTTTCAGTTTTACTTGTGCATACTGCACGCTACAGCCAGTAATTTTATGAATTGGGCTTATAATGAGCTTTTATATTGTTCTTTATTGCTTGCCTGAAGGTCTTTTCATTATTGTTTACCATGAAAGTTGAGGTTGGCATAGATAGGAAATTTGCATCAATGACCAGAAAATAGGGCAAAGTGTTCACATCTCTGATAAACCCAAATCTAGCAGTCTCATGAAAGTTTGTCTTGGGTCAGAATGGCATGCTATAATAAGGTGGAGTTCAAGCAAAAGTGTGACTAAAGAAATTTAAAATAACCATGCTAAAATTTACATATGGCTGATTTGGAAAAAATATTTTCCATAAAATCTATTTTTCCCCCCAAATATTTAGTAATAAAGCACTTTTGTATTTGCACTTGAAATACCTTAAACTTTTACAAAATATCTGGTGTTTGAGTATGTTTTGAAAGCTTTCTCCTTAGAGCACAATGACACAATCCTTCATTTCAGTATAAGTAATATTCACACTTTCCATGGAATCACAATTATTTCCTTTTCAGCACGCATGCCTTTGCTTTGCTTTTTCTTACTTCTGGGCAGTGCCATTGTTTGTTTTAAAGCATGTCAATATGAGATAATCCTGTCAGGTGTGTCCCTTTTTCTCTGTGGTGCATCAATGAAATGTCAAATGTTCCTTTGGTAAATACAAACTTGCACTGAGTTTTGGCATGTTTTCCAAAGTGTCAAGTTTTCCCACCCAGAAGTTTCCACTGGAAAAATAACTCAAGATACTAGACCAAAGCGGTAATTATATCCCACATAAACTCTTTCTTTCCCTTGAACTCCATTAAGCAGAAAGGAAACACATGAAAAAAAAGTAGGGCCAAAATCATTGATAACCTAAGCAGATACAGCCTCACTGATTTCAACTTATTCCCCTCCAAATTAAATATGACTGGTATCAAAGCTGTATTTAATCTTCTGCTGACATTCACCCAACGACTGAGATCAGAACAAAGCTAAGGAGCTGATTGTCACAAATCTACTTGAAAGAATGCTCTCATTTGGTAGATGACAAAACACATGAGTAGCATGTCTACCCAGAGACAGGAGCGTCACTACAAAAGTAAAAATCCTTCCGAACTGTATTTCGTTTCTCAAATCTCAGATGTTCAGTTCTCTGCATGAACAATAACAGGTTGGGTATGAAAGTGGAAATTTTTCCCTGATACTAATCTGCATACTCGGGCACCTTGCTGGTTCAATTGAATTTAATTAAATTGTTACGCATTTCTACTCAAATGTAACATAAAATTTTTGACCTCTTGCTTGGATCAATATTCTGTAAGAATTAAAAGGATGGTAAATTCATAAATAACTTGGCTCTGCATGAAAGATGAGCTATTGGCATTTTCACTAAGTGAAAATTAGATTTTACCAAATCAGAATTATGTAAACCCCTCAAAGTGTCCATTAGGGGTGGACTGAGAATTACTCAGATCTCTCAAAAATTAATGGAGTGTTTGTTTTTTCAAATTCACTTCCATTATTGAAAGTGTTTATCAAGAAATATAAAAGCAATCACCTTTTCCTGCTGCATGCAGAGAAATTATATTTTATAGGGAAGACTTTTATAGATATATATATATATTTTATATATATAAACATATATATATAAAAACATATAAAATCCTTCCCTATAATACCTATACAGGGTATGCTTTTCTTAATATGTGCCCAGCCTCTGCTTGTTGAAGGCAGGTAGGTATAATGAAATAGAGCAACTTCTTATTTATAGCACATAGGGCCCAATCTTGGACTACACTTGGCTTTAATCAACCTCAGTGAAATTAATCTGCTGTGTGACTTTTTTTTCCCCATGTGGTACCCACTGACAAGCAATAAAGGATTGCTGGGAAATTCTGACCAGTGGTATGTGGAGAATCAAATAGGTTGGGCTTTCTCTGAAATAATTCAGTGTATATCAATAAAAGTAAAATGATATTACAATAAGGCTGCAAATTTGTCTTTGAATCATGCATATTCCTCATTTCTTCATATATTTTCCCAAGCATGTGGCTGATCAAGTGCTTTTCTCCCTGTTTTAAGAGGACTCATGTCATAGTTGGCTAGAAGCTCCTGCAAAATCTGGAGAGATGTTAGGTTTTGGTGCTTTCCTTTTTATTTATTCCAAGTAGATGTCTGTGGTGGTGTCATGGTTTAACCCCAGCTGGCAAGTACCATGCATGACTTGATGGAGATCAGTTTCTAGGGATGTGCTGGTGAAGCCTATAGTACATCCCCCCAAAAAGTCAGCAATAGCCTATTTTCTTGCTTTTAGAGTTTGTCTTTTACAAGGTTCTAGAGCTTTGGTACAGTTTTCCGTATACCACAATCATCTTCTAGGCAGTTACATCATTGTAATAGGAGAATTCTGTATTTTTCTGCTTAATGGCAATTAGCTGTCAAGGATTGTGGTGCATTTGTGGGAGCACTGGATCACTAGCTAAACAATGTTCTGCCACTGTGAAACTGAGAGTCATAATTTGGAATGACACAATGGGTGCAAACAGTTAAATGTAAATCCATATATGGGAGCTGTGGATTACCACCACAGCTGTATCCAGGCTCCAACTCCTTTCCTTGGATAGGTCCTGCAGCTACAGAGATCTTGTCAGAAGCAGCCAGCCAGGCCAGAGATTCATGAGATCATGGTCTGAAAAAAGGGGAATATGTGGCAATGGCAAGGTAAAACAGCAAGCAGGAGACAAGGATGCTCTGAAGCGGAATGCAGACCTTGTAGCTTCATGGGAAGGGACTTTCTTCCCTTTCTATTCTACATTTATATTCATCATCAAACTGTACACATTTTTCTTCTCTTTTTTTTTTTTTTTTTCCCTTGAGGTCAAATAGCTTTTTCATCTTTATGGTGTACTTGGGAGCACAAAGAAATCCTTTTCTTTCATCAGATGATCCTGGGCTACCCAGAGGTTGAAGCAAGTGTTGTTTAACATTACCAGTGCCAGCTGCTGCTTCAAATTACACCGTCCCATCCTGTGCTGTCTGGAGGCAGCAGCCCTATCTCAAATTCCCTCTGGACTTTGCTTCTCTGAACTTCTTCCAGCTCCTGGCATAGCCACCTCTGCTAAAGTCCATGTAGAGATTCTGCAGAGCAGTTCCATGGGACTGTGAGTGGGAAATGCACCTCGAGCTGCTGCAGCCCTTGTGTACCACCAGAATTTGTGGGGAAAGAAATGGACTGGAAAATCTCCTGTAATCATTAAAAGTAAGCTTTTTACCCGCTGCTGTGTGCAAAGTTGGAGCTGCTGTTTTCCACATGCTGTTTAAAATGCTGCATGAGGGAGCACTGAGAGTCTGTGCTAACCCATGCCCCAGTGCAAGGGGCACCCAGCTGCTCTGGGAGCTGACAAATTTCTGGTAGCTCTTTTCTTGGCTCTTGGCTAAACAAATGCACTGCTCCTTCTGGTCCATGGGTTATGAACCTTGTCCAGTACAACCTCACTGCACAGATTTCACATCCTCCTCCATGTCAGCTGGAGATGAATAACTACACGAGGATCCACAGTCTGGTACCCTGCTGTGTCATTTTTGTCAGTGCTACCTTTGGAGTTCCTGTCCATCTGGACCTCCCTACCTACATACTACTAGGTACCAGCTACAATTTGACCAAGCAGTGTCTGGTCAATGAGAATGCTGGAGGAGTGAAATGCCTCGCCTCTCTCTCACAGTCCCGGGCATCCCCTCGTTTGGCCAGGCTGGTGCTGGATGGAGGAAGCCTTCAGGAGCTGCTCCTTTTCTCTCATTCAGGATTCTTTCTCCTGGTGCCTGTCCAGCCCCAGCTGGCTCTCATGAAGCAGGGTAGGAATGGTACCCCAGAGAGCACACGGCATGAACCTGCAGCATGTTTTAATGCACAAAACATTTTCGGTGTTCGGGGGTAAAAGACAGCTTAGCCCAGAGAAACGTATTTAATAACTCAAGTGTTTAGCCATCAGTGTGTTCTCTGTTACTCTCAATAAACTTGGCAATATGATTGTTTTAGATGAGCGCAACACGCCCTATGGTGAAGATTCTTTTTGTTATTACACATTGTTTGATGCTTCAAACAATAAATTTTAAAAAAAGGGAGGGGGAGAATATATTTTGCTTTTGATTAATCAGCTTTTGAGGGCATTGCTCATCTCAGTCCCACTATAATTGAAAATCAGGATCTGCATCTCATTCAAAATGTGCCAAGAGCAGTGGGGATGGTACCCTTAGGAGGTGCTCTCATTTCATTGAGTTGAACCGTAATGAATGAGAGTGGATTCCTACGGAAACCAGAGCATAACTGAAGGTTTTAGCTGAAGAGGACTGAATTGGTGTTCCAGAGTTCGAGGATTCCAGGTGAGAGAAAACGAGAGACAGAGAACTCACACCTAGTTTGTTAATATAGGAAAATATAGAGATAGTAAAGGATACAGTAAAGGATACTTCTGATGTTTGGTTATCTTACCGACCCCAAGGAACCTGTGAAGATAATCAGGAAACCAGCAGTGTGAGGTGGCAGGCTCAATCTTAGCGGGCATCCCCACCATGGAGGCAACGTTGACGTGGGTGGTATGAGGTTCTGCCTCCCCTGCACTGTATGAGGTTTGGGCTTTTATACTAATAAAAATGCACACTCATTCCGATGCAGGGGGCCAGCCTATGTCAGAAGAAGTGGCCAGCAATATTTAGAAAGGTCTTCAAGGGTTGAGACTTTTCCAGGGATTTCTAAAGTGGAACTTTCTGGGTAGGAACCAAAGCTGGACTTTTAAGGGAGCAGCCAAAGCAGGACTCTCTAGCAAGGAGCCAAAGTGGACAAACAGTACTTTTCTATCTTTGTGTGTTTCACCACAGACCATTATCTGTTATCCCTGACACAATTGGCACCATCTTTTAAATCTTACGGATGTTCTTTCAATGGAGTATAACCTGTACAGCAAAAGCAAATGCTGGTATGGTGTTTATATCAATGCTCTGGTCCCATTCAAAGCTCAAACTATTCTGAGGTTTGGAGTGTAATAACAAATCCCAGGGAAGATTTATTAGCAAGCAAAGACCAGGCACAGCAGTCAATGATATAACCTGACTAGTGCAATATCTATATGGCTTGTATGTATTCATGCACGCAGAAATGAAGGCCCTATAGTGAAAGATAACATTGAACATCCTCTAAATTTTCCTTCTCTAGGAAACTCAAACTACACAACAAATGGCATATGAGGAAAAGGACTTTGCTCTAAGTAGAAAGAGATTAGTAAAAGGGCATGCCAGTGTCCTCTAATGAGCAGAAATGAAGTTGCTTTAATTTCTACCAGAGATTTTGGGCAAGCTCAATTCAAATATTTATGTTGATACACTAGGTGTAGACTGAAAAAGCTAAAGCAAAACTTGTATAGCTGAAGTAAAGGCCAATAGACAGCTTTTCTTGCTAATGGAAATTCTAAGTAAGGTAAAAGTAACTAAATACTTTTGGGTTAGGTTAATAAAAACCATCCTGGTATGCTACTTAGACTCCGAACATCTGCTAAGAGATGATGCATCAAAGAGAGCAAATGGAGACGAAGAAAGAATTGATGATACTGGAGAAGTGATGCTGGCTGGTCAAGCAGGATCAAAAAGCAGATTGTTTTCAGGTGAGGTAAGCTAAATATTTTGGTTTTGGTTTTGTTTTTTTTTTTTGTTTTTTTTAATCCTCCCCACAAACACACAGAGCTTAGACAGAAGCATTTGCTTCACTTTTGTTGCAGTCAGTGATGCTAAGCAAACTGTTTATTATTGTGTTAATTCCAATTAGTCTGGTTTTAATTATCTTTTTTTTTTTTTGTTATGGTTGTCATAAGTATTATATGCAGATAAATGCAAAGAATAGAAAAACTTATTCTCTGACTCAGGAAGATGTTGAACACAAAACACAGCCTGCAGCTCTTCTCTTATTCTTTATCACTGGCTCTGGACAGAGGAGCTCCATTGCAACACTCTATGTACAACCTTTTGACCTGGGATCTGGACCCAGGGAATTGCCCATTGGAGTAAGCCAGGTGTGCAGGTTGCACACCACTTGTTGCAAACACAATACTCAGTGCCTGGAACCCAGCAAAGCCCTGATGCACGTGCTTCCTCTTAAACATGTAAGAAGTCCCCTTGAAGACAACTCCTTTATTAGGCTTTGACTTCAAGCAGTCTGTCACAGGCATCCTTACAATAACATCTGTAAGGCAAGTTTATCAATGTTTAGATTCCTAGTCTTTTTAAACAAAATTATTATTGTTGTGAAATTGAGCAGGCTACTTCTCTTCCTTGCAGACCTAGGCAATATACACACTTTCTAAGCCCCTTACATTTGTCACTTCAAATAGAGGGTGAGTTTTATCAAAATTATTCACAACAACATTATTATTCCGCATGTAGAAGGTAAGAAGTCAAAGTGAACTTGAATCAGTGCAATTATATATGTGAGTCTAGTTACAGTGTGAATCTTCTAAAAGTTATAGCAGCCTAAGAGCTAGTGGTGGCAATTTTTAATTCTGGACCAGTGACATATTTAGTATTTGATATGTTGTATGTTTGCATAGCTAAAAATAGCTGCAGTCTTTGGGACTGTGCTGTCCTGATGCTTCCCAGGTCCATATCTACATGCTGTCCACCCTATGGTGTAACAAAACTATCCTCAAGTTAGCAGCATTGACCTCTTCCTGTTGCACAGAGGTCTAAAATGCCAAACTTACAGCATGTCACTGCTCCAGAATTGGGCAGATACAAGTTAACGGGGAAGTTTTATGCTAGAACTAGAGGAGGAAATAGATATTTATAGATGCCGTGAAGACAAAAGAGGTCATCTGAAGTTGGTCAGGTTGGAGTCCGGTACAGATAAGGCAGCCAACAGGGGAACCATGCCCTGGCAGTGCAGGGCTCAGAGGCAATCATCCCTGGGCTTGGCTTAGA